AGCTGCCGGGCGGCTGCAGCGCTCCGGGCTGAGATGTGACACAAACCCCCCCTTGTCCCCGCTCTGTCCTGCCCGGGACACCTGCACGGCCGTGCCGCCGTGCTCACCTGTCCCTCCCGGGCCAGCTGCAGGGCTCGGAGCCCTGGCCAAGCCCGGGCAAGGGCACGGAGCCCTGGCCAAGCCCGGGCAGGGCACGGAGCCCTGGCCAAGCCCGGGCAAGGGCTCGGAGCCCTGGCCAAGCCCGGGCAAGGGCACGGAGCTCCCGAGCCGCACTCACCAGCGCCGGCCGCAGCCGCACAGGTTGCCCATGCCGCTCCTTCCCCCGGGGAGCCCGGCGCTCTCTGGACGGGCTCAGCTTGTATTTCCTGGTTCCTGCTCGGCTCCCGGCTGCTCGGGGAGTGTCTGCCGGTGTCGGGTTTCGGAGCTCCGGGTGCCATCTACCGGAGCTGGCCCCGCTCCGGGCAGCGCTGGCCGGGCATCACCAATTCGCTTCGGGGGCTCGCACAGCGCCCGGCCCTCGCTGTCCCTCCGGCCACGGGGGACAGACTTCACACCAAGGAGATGTGGGACTCAGTCAAAGGAAGAAACGGAGAGTTTCTAGCCAGGCAAAAAGCCTGGGAAAGTGCTGGGAAAGACTGTAACTAATTCTTTAACTCTCTTGTTTTTCACACTGTGTATAGTTAAGTTCTATCACTGTGCGTCAAGCACTCTGCACCAATGGTTGAGTTGGGTTCACTTCAGAACCAATGGATTTGGTCCTTGCAGAGCTCTGTATAAAAGAGCAGTGTATTTTGAATAAATCAGAGTTTTACTCTCACAGCCTTCTGAGTCAGTGTCTTCATTCCCATCCTGCCTCGACAGCGACAGAAGCAGCTTGGTTTTCTGACCTGATGGTGGAATATCAAGCGCCCTTGGCTTGAAGAAATGCTGGGTGTTGGGTTTTGGCAAGCCTGGGGCAATAACTGAGTGTGGAAGGAGGTGCTGGAGCCTCTGGATTGCTGCGCTGAGCTGGGCACAATGTGCCAAGGGTGAACGTGGCTTTTCCAGAAGGGTTTGAGATGGGTTTGCTCCACTGTGTGAGCTGAGCACACGGAGTGGGAGCTCTAAAATGCCTTCCTAGGACTTGCCTTGGTGTGCATCCAGGCCTCTGCCTGGATAGAAACTCTCCGTTTCTTCCTTTGACTGAATCTGAGTCCCACAAGGAGAAGCCCCAGGGTGGGCACTTGGCGCTGTTCCTGCTGCCCACCCTCACAGTGAGAGTTGTGCCATGGGTGGCATCACCTGGGAATGAGCGGGGTCCCTGCAGTTCTCAGCTGAGCCCTGCAGCCTCAGGGACATGGGAATCCACTTTCTTTCCCGCTACCTGCATAAAAGGGTTCAGTTCAGTTCGGGAGGGTCCCCACAGCCTCAAGGAGCTGCAGTGCAGCTCTCAGGCTCAGCCCCAGCGGGTCAGATGGGAACAGGGACCTGCATTTCACCTCTGTGCTCCTGGTGAGA